TAACTGAGAACTACAATTCCCAGGTGCAGCTAGTCTTAAAAATACACAGCAGTTTTACCAAACTACTACTGCCTACAGTTAACACTTACTGGGGGCAGCACACACCCACTTGAATGATGGCTTTGCCCAGGTAATTCAGAAAAACAGTTAAATTCACCCTGACCTGGATAACCCAGGGAAGCCCAATCTCATCAGATCTCAGAAGCTCAGCAGAGTTGACTCGGGCAAGTTCTTGGATGGGAGACCTCCTTGAAATACCAGCAGTGGGGAGGACAGGGTCAGGCTTTATTCAGCCACCTCTCTGAATATCCTCCAGGACCCCAGTAGGGGTCAGTCTCCAGAGGCTGCCATAACTTCCAGGTGCACACACACACACACACAAAATACAAAAAAATACAAAAAAAGAAAAAACGTTAAATTCAACATCATTCAAATAACTAGCGTATATACTTAATTTCCCCCCCCTCGTGGATCACTGCCTTGTCGTGGCGAGGGGGCTTGGGTGGTTCGATGAGGCTGTGGGCTATGCTGTGGAGGGCCACCCAAGACGGACAGGCCACAGCAGAGAACTCAGACCAAGCGTGATACCCTGGAGAAGGAAATGGCAACCCACTCCAGTATTTTTGCCAAGAAAACCCCATGGACAGTATCAAAAGGAATTTACTAACCTCCACCTAACTCAAAACAGACTAACAATAAATTAACAAAATACAAAGAAAATCTTAACTACCTAACTCAGCACAATGGAATAAAATATATGAACCAAACATGAAGAATGTATGAATTGTAAATGTAATGATATATCAACCAAGTTCTAAACCAGACTAATGAAAATATAAACTAAATCAACCAACAAATAATTTTTTTCAACACCATCCATCTCCAACATAACCCACAGGCTGAGTTAGAGAGGAGACTTTATCCACTCCGATGACTGACACCATTGTTGAGCAAGTGGCCTGAGGACCTTGTAATGGAAAGGGGGAGGGAAGGGTGCTTTTCCTTGTTGGGAAATTCCCTTAGACCAAGGGTTCCCTGGAAAGCATCCTGGTAACCAGCCACCAGCAATCAGGAATCTCCTGAGAACATTTAGACTGACCCCACAAGAAGGTATCCTTCTAGCACACTGCTACAGCAATAGTGAAGCAACAGGGTAGAAACCCTACAAAATACTTTATAACCAACTCTGTAGCGCCTGTGCAGTCTAGCATATAGGGAAGAGATTTAAAATATCCCAGATACATTAACTATACTAAACAAAGCTAAAAAACAAGAACACAGCACACCCAATTCCAAAATAAAAAGCAATGCAGTTGAACTAACTCAGCCCCGTACACTTTAACTAGGTTGTAGCAGGTTCTTCAGAGCATGTATAGAGTTCCTTGCAGTAACAAGATACTGGCAGAGTCCTTAATGCCTACCTGGCCTTCTGTGGACTCTCGTTGCTACTGAAGGCAAGGGGAAATCCCAAAGGTCCAGATATTTATGGTCAATGGAATTGAACCTAAACCTTTCTAAGAGTGATGGGCTGATTTAGCAAATCAGACAGAGACTTATTAAATATAGTCCATCCTCCTCAAGCATCTAGTAATGGCTCTGAACTTCTATGGCAAATTGTTGGTCTGGCCCAAACCAGATTGTCCTTTGTCTAAAAGGGATTAAGTTTGGTAGGATAGTCCAATGTGGATTGGAAATGAATGGGTTATTCTAATGTAAACCAGGATCTCAGATGCTCTAGATGGCAGTCTTGCTCTAGTAAACTTTTAGGGCTTCTGTCACAGACAGGAAAGGCAGAGGTGAAATGTGGTTGACCCGAGCAGATCTTGGCCAGGAGAAGCCGAGCACATGCAGGCCCTGAACACAGGCACTTGGCTCAATAGCATGCTACTGTGGAAGAAATTAGGTCTTTGCAGATACAATTGGTCTGGGAAATAAGGTGCATTTTTCATTGGTTGGAAGGAAAATATTTATTAAAAAATTCAGTGCACCTTTCATTCCTTAAAAATACTTTTGGTGTGTTCCTGTGTTCAGACACTGTGGAATAAAAGCTGCTGACACATCTGGTCCATGGAGTCAAATGCTGATTCCAGCATTAGACTTTGTGCAATCAGCAAAGGAAGCATTGGATTCTGCTGGAAATAGTTGGCAGTAATATTTGCAGCAGGAACTATTCTGTTCTGGATACTCTGTCTGCAGTTATTTTCAGCCCCTTCCTTGACAGAATAGCACTGAATGGCAACCTCCTCTATAGTCCTTTCTTCCATGGGAATGTCTTCAATAGAATTTGGGCCCTCGTGCAACTGGAAGGGAATGGTTGATTTCAGAACCAAGCTGGAGGGAAAAGAGAAAGTCAACAAACACGGAGGCTGGATAGTAACATTAGATTGCACTGGTTTAAGTAGGCAGAGGATTGCTCGATTGCACAGCTCTTTTCATTGCCTCCTTTTAGCAATTTTCAGGGATTCCTTGGTTTGATGTTTAGGACAACCTTTAATGGCATGGAGGAGGGGAGTGGTATCAGTTTGACAACCATACTGGCCTCAAGTGAACTTGCCAGATATTTTTAACACCCTCAGAGCAAGAATGGGAGTGTCCCAGAGGAGTTGGCAAAGAACCCATTAACACGTAAGCATGATTACATCCTATAATATATAACATGTTGGCAGGTTCCCACAGGGTAAAAAGGTAAAGGTTCCCTTGCTCAAAAGCCAGTCGAATCCGACTCTAGGGTTGCGGTGCTCATCTCCATTTCAAAGCCGAAGAGCCAGCGCTGTCCAAAGACGTTTCCGTGCTCATGTGGCCAGCATGACTAAACACCAAGGCGCACAGAACGCTGTTACCTTCCCACCGAAGTGGTACCTATTTATCTACTTGCAATTTCTTGCTTTCGAACTGCTAGGTTGGCAGGAGCTGGAACTAGAGATGGGAGCTCACTCTGTCATGCGGCACCCGGGTCTTGAACTGCTGAACTACCGACCTTCCACAGCCTGCAGTTCAGCGTCTTAACCACTTGAGCCACCGCAGCTCCTTCCCACAGGGTAGCTGATGTTAAATGTCAGAGCTTGAGCACGAGAGGGACACTGAAGATTTGTACTGGATAAAGGTCAGAGCTTGAGCATGAGAGGGACACTGAAGATTTGTACTGGATACTTGCTTCTGTCTTCAGCAGAACTTACAGGCAATAAACAGATCAACTCACAGGTACTTTTTTGTCATTACAAGGCACACAACTGTTATCAAGCTATGATGAAAGGCCAGTTCCTTCAAGGTAGCTATCATACAATCAGATACATTTTTTTTCTGTGTGAAGTTATCCCCCCCTGTGAATGATACAATCTATTTCAGTTAGCCCAAATTATGGTGTGCAAATTCTAAAATAATATTTTTAGAAGCAAGCAATACTAAGGCCAGAGACTCACATTTCAAGGGGTGTGTATATTCTCTCATCAGACAGCACTCAGCTAAGGCACATCTCCTTCTCTAATGGATGTGCAGGAATCTCCTTGTTTAGGTCTGTGTCTCTTGTCTCCACGGGTTGCCCATCAGAATCAGGCAGCATCTCTTCCCTTTTATGAATAACAAGATGCAGCCATGGACCACTGAGTATGCTGTCCTTGAATGAGGGAAAGCTGGGTTCAAACCCTCACTAAGTGATGACGTTCACTGTGTGGTCTTGCCTCCCCCACAGCCTAGCCTGCCTCCAAGGGCTATTGCAAGGACAGCATGGGGCAAAGCACATAGAATGGCAACATTAAAATGAGTTAAAATACCCCCCACCTCAGCCGAGCCTCACCCACAGGGTTGTTGCAGGGATAGCATGGTGCAAGTCATATAGAAAAGGAGAATTAAAATGGGTTTAAAATGCCGTCTAAGCCTGGAGCTCCCTCCAGAAACAGTTCTGGCATGTCCTGTGTCCTACAAAGCCACCTCAAGCAGGGCTTTGGAGAGGTGGCATACAAATGTCCTGACTCCTAAACAATAAATGAGGCCCTTCCTCACATAGCATTAGGCACCATCCCAGCTGGTCAATGTTCAACATTTTCTTCAAAGTTTGTTTGAGGGAAGGGGTACTTCTGCCATAGATGATAGGGACACCTGTATTATTCTCTGGGGCATGGTCCCATGCAAAAGTCGTGGCTCACCTGCTCAGGTTCAGACCTGGTTGACACATGGTGGTAAATGAGCTGGTAGAAAAGACAACACCATAAGAAGAGCCCTGCTGGATCAGACCAGCAGTCCATCTAGTCCAGCATCTGGTCTCACGCAGTGGTCAATCAGTTCCTCTGGAGGGCCAACAACAGGGATTCAGAAGTTGACTGCCTCTGAACCTGGATGTTCCCCTCAGTCACCATGGCTAGTAACCACTGGCAGACCTCCAGACTGTGGGTGATGTATTTCCAGCACTGGTTGTTCCTCCTCATTAAACACACACAAACTAGCACCTTTCTCTCCTTTGCTGCTTGAGGGGCTGGCTTTCTACTTGCAAGGGGATTTAAAAAACAAACAAACAAACACGCTGAAGACGACATTCCATTGCAGAAACTGCAGCTCTCCTCTCCCTTCTCCTTGTTGCTCCACACGTGCGGATGTCACCCCAGTCGTAGGCGCAAGACGGAGAACGAAACTTCCCATTTCTTTTTCTACAGCCGTAAGAATCCGCACCACGAGCACGGAAGACCCGCTCACGCCGGTGCCACTACCGACCTTATCTCCTTCCTTCCGCGCCTTCGTGACCCTTCTTCACCAATCAAAACGTAGGATGGGCACTCGGCCCCGCCCTCTCAGCCTCTCGCGTCAATCTCTGCCCACCATCCCCGCCCAGCCCTTGCCTCGCATCCCGGAAGGCGTTGACGTCACTTTCCGCTGTAGCCCAATCCGAGCGACACCGGTGCGTCACTCTCTCCTCTGGCCAATGATGTCGCGCCCGGCTTCAGGACCGGGCGGGGTTGGCGGAGGTTTTTTAAGGCAGCGCGGAGCTTCACCTTGGCCAGAGTCCTTCCATCCGACACGCCAGTGGCCGATGTTATGGCAACCATTGTCGCTCCCCGTTTGCTCCTTCGCCTCCTGGGTCAGACCGCCCCAGGAACCTCGTCGGGCCGAGGCTGTAGCTGTCATCTCCGGCAGGGTGCCCGCCGGCTCCACCTCAGCGCATCCAGGTATAGCAGGGAGGGGAAAGAGGGGCCCTCAGAGCCGGTGACGAGCCCCGATGGAGCCTCTCCTTCGGGAGCAGGCTATCTGATGAGCCGCGCAGGGGGGGAGCTTAATGTGCTTAGACGGTCCTGTTCTTCTCCCAGTGTCCGTTCTTTCTCTTTTCTCACCCCCGTGGTGGTGGGGTCTACGCTGAGTGGGGCTGGGGGGGCAGCTGGGGGCTTTGGGGAGCCTTTGGGTGCCCGTGGCTTCCTCAGCGTGGTGGGAGGGCGCGGGGACTGGATCTGGCCCCCGTGCTTCGCTCCGATGGGAATGAATGGGACAGGCTCCCCCCAGCGGTTGTTTGCGTACCCTGCAGGCTGATGAAATCGCCGCGATCGCTTGCGTGGAGTAGCATCTCCTGCCGCCTCCAGCCAACCCTGGGACGAGCCCTGGCTGCTGTAACTCAGCGGCGAGGCAGGGATGAGTCGGGGTGGTACGTGGGAAAACGGGCAGGGCTGGGTGCTGGGAGTCGCCCTCGCGCTTGCCCTGAGTTCTGGCCGTGATCTGCAAGACAGGCAATCCGCAAGGAAAGTGGGGGAGCGGAAACCATGGGGTTCGGCCGCCTTCTCGGTTCGCGTTTGTTGTATTTTTTTTTGGGGGGGGGGGGGTGTTCAGTGGCAGTCGTATGCATCGGAACCAGTTCCTTGCATAACACTGGCCTATTTAGAGAGCCATTTCGGCCGAGCTTTGGAATCTAAAGCCAGGATGCCTGCCAGTGTTTCCTCTAAACTGAGTTAGTGTGAGCTAGCTCACAGTTTTTTAGCCTCCGGTTCGCACATTTTTGTCTTAGCTCAGGAAGGATGGCTTCAGAGCAAACTTAACTTATGCAGTCATCAAATCACTTGCTCACAACTTTAATGCCAGTAGCTCACAAAGTAGAGTTTTTGCTCATGAGACTCCACAGCTAAGAGGGAGCATTGTGCCTTTGCTGGAATTGCTTCGTGGGCTCTCTGGTTCCTCTTGCCTCCTTTGCATACCATTACTCATCCTGTTCTTCTGTAATGCCTGAGGTGTTTGGGAGTAGGAGGTGCTGTATATGTTCCCACCTGGCAGGTGGTTCTGAGAAGGTGGTAATAGGGGATCAGTGCCTTGCAGTTGTGCACTTATGGTGGGAGAATTCTGCAGAGGTGTCTTCTCCTCACACTTGCTTCATGCCTCCCTGGGAGAGGTCATCCAGGGGCTTGGCACAGCATCAATATGTACATGACACCCAACTCCTGTTTCCTTTTGATCTAATCCTGGTGAAGTCACTGCCCGTTCTGGAGTTTATAATGGGCTTGATGAGGCTAATAATCTGAAGCCCAACACAGATGAGATGGAGCTGTGGGGGGGGGGGGGGGACAAGCAATTTTTTACTTTTTGTCTCAGAACTATTGGTTATTGCAAGCTGCCTTGGGTGAGAAGCAGAAAGAAATCCTGGAAGCTGTAAATTCGCTGCTGCTAAAATACCATTCCTCTGTCTAAATATAGTTACGGAGCACTATGCTTCTTACAAGTACATGCGCTGTAACCTTCTGCAGGGAGAACTTCTGTATCTTTTCTGTGCAAGTTTAGACTCTTGTGCAATTTATAAAAAACATCCCTGCAAGTTTCATTAACACACCACCACAAGTTCCACAGATTACTGGCATGTGGCACTGCTTTGCATGGGCTGCAGCACATCTCTGATGGAGGTTGTTTAAAATCAGTAGAACTTGCTTGTGAAAAGCTTTCATGGCCTTGAATTAGAAGCAAAGAGGCAGGACTGAACATAAGCAACTAGTGTGGGAGGCCTAGCAAGAGAACAGCCCCAAGAAACATTTCTTTCTTTATCTGCTCTTGCCTTCATAACTTTATCTTTTGCGGACATGCGGCATGCTAGAGTGTGTGATGACACTGCGGTTCTGAAAACTAGTTGCAGTTCTCCTGTGCCAGGAATGGCTTTTAAGCTGCTGCTGCATCTGCTTTCTGTGAAATAAAGTTTTATTATATTTGGCTAAAAGAAATAGCTGAAAAAGCTTAAAGTAGGGTGATAGCTTTGATTCCATAAGTATGAAGAATATGCACCTGTTTAGGATAACAGCTATTTAATGCAAAGCTGCATCTACTTTTTTATCACTTGGTCCCAGTATAGCGTTGAAATGTATCTAATCTGTGAGTTTATTCAAGGCATGAGCTTTCATGTGCATGCACCCTTTTTCAAATATTTCAAATATTTGAAAAAGTGTGCGTGCACACGAAAGCTCAAACCTTGAATAAACCTTTGTTGGTCTTAAAGGTGCCACTGGACTCTAAATTTGTTTCCTGCTTCAGACCAACATGTGCAACTAAGCTGTGAGTGTTTATTTTCGCCAGTTGAGCCAACTGAGTGCAGGCTTTCAAGTATAAAACTAGACAAAAATTTGAAATTTAATTGTTCAAGCAATAATGAAATTATTGCAATGGCAATTGTGGTGGTGAATATCCATAACGCAGACCATTGCGCTTGCGTGTTTTGCTGAGTGACACTTCCTGTAACATTTGTTATTTGAAGGCTGCTGTGGACACTGAGAGAAGCAAGGTCTAATTGCTCTGAGGACTTCTTCACACAATACAGAAGAGGGGTCCTTATGGTTTACCTGCAGGTGGACTGTGTCTTCACTGCAAAATTTAAAGGGTGTGTGTCTGAAAAAGCACAGAAAGCCTGATACTCAGAAACATGGTTGACTAAGGCTCCCAGGTGTACATTTCTAGACACAAATGTCCATCAAACAAAATAGAAGCATGTGGTCTCTTTTCTGGCTGTATTTTGTCTTTTAGCATTCTTTGCACCAGTTCCAGAATTTGCATTCTTTGCACAGACTCCAGACTTTGCATTAAGAATGGCCTCATTGCAGCCAGTTTTTAGAGTCCTTGGGATTCTTGTTTAAGTGTGCCTCCTAGTAGTTGCTGAACAGAGTGTGCTCTGACTTCATATCTCCTTCACTTCTATGAGATGCTACCTCTCATGAGACCCGATGCTTCTGTATTCGGCTTCACTCTGGGCAAGCTGGCCTGGAGAGGTGCATGAAGAGGTGCTGTTACCGAGGGAGCTAGACCAAGCTGTGATAGATATTAACGTGCTATAACTCAGATTTGGGGGCAGGAAGCTGTAAAAACTCTCTTTGTGCAGGAATGAAGCTGTTGTCATTTCCGGGAGGAAGCTGGCACGGCAGATTAGACAAGAAGCCCGCCACGAAGTGGAGCAGTGGGTCGCAGCTGGCAATAGAAGGCCCCACCTCAGTGTGGTTCTCGTTGGTGAAAATCCTGCAAGCCACTCCTATGTCCTGAACAAGACTAAAGCAGCAGCCGATGTTGGTATGTCCTTTTGCTCTCCTGGGGGTGCAAGCAGCATCTCTCTCAGCAGAGTTATTTTGGGGGGAAAGGGCTCTTGGAAGTCACTGCACTTCTCTTTGCCTTCTTTGTCTGCCAGCTTGAAGCAATTATAGCCTCCCCACCTGCCCCTTGCTTGACTGTTGCAGTCTAGGATGGGATATTGTGTCTCGGAGCATCTGATCAGCAGACACGTGGCCTTCAGCTGCCTGGTGTGCTTCCTTAGGACTTGGCACACCATAGACCCTCCAGTCCACCTTAACCTTTCAAGCTTTGGCTGCCTCACCCCAGCCTTGTTGCACACATAATATCCTTGGTGCTTTCTGACTGCTGAGCATTTGTGTGAATTGGATGTCAGTGATTCTTTTGCAGCCTGAAATAGGATGGTTAAAAGCTTGCTAAGGAGGAAGCGGGAAAGCAGAACAGATTTGGCCTTGAAGACTTTCTGTTGCTCTCTATAGCAGTAACAAGATCTAAATATTTGAAAGGTCTTGGATTGCTGGTCTTCTGACAAAGCTGTTGACTGCTCGGGGGTGCCATGCTGGCTGCTACTGCACTGGGCAGCAATTGCCCTACTGGTCAGTGCTCCACTCCACTCCGAGATGTAACTTTTTCCAGATGAAAATGTAAAAGGATACGGTGGCTGCTTAAGGCCAGAAAGACCCCAGGGCTTGGTATGCTTGGCAGGCACTGGAGGCTTCAGTTTCTGGAATCAGATTGCAGTTATTGGATCTTCACTGCCTTCAATTCCTGCAGCTTGATTTGGGAACTGTGGACCTTGCATATTCTAAGGGACATGCAAAACATTTTTGTGCACAGCTGAGCAACTCCCAGATCTGTGGCTTCCCTTTGGTCGGTGCTAGTGATTTCCTTGTGCAGCCTTCAGGCTTCCAAAATGCTCTGGCTAATTGGAAGTGAAGAACAGAGGCCCCACGTCTGCTTAATTGCAATATTCATGGAAAACTAAATGGAAGAGACAGCTATTTGGTCCTCACTATCTTCTCTCTGTGGGCATCAAACTTTAAGCATACGTCTTCAAAAGAGAAAATTCAAAGTTGGTACTCTTGGGCTTGGATCCAAAGCCTTGCTTCTGCTTGCACTGCACTCTTCTCCATTGTGGAGGTGATCATCTGCTGCAGAATGTGTTCCTCTGGTGCCAGGAGCTTCCGTTCATGCAAGATGAACATCCTTCAAAGAGCCCAAAAGCACCTAATGCCTGAGAAAAGCACTTTACAGTGGAGGACCACCTCAACCATGGACGAAGAGAAGTGCAAACAGGAGCAAGGCTTTGGGTCCAGGCAACGTAGCCCCAGATACTCTCATTAGAAAAGCCTGAAACTGTGACATTGGTCAAGACCTCTGTCTTGTACAGCACTCCGCCTCTCTCGGTTCACTAGTTGGCTTGTGCCTTGTGAAATTGCTCATCAAAGTTAAAACGTCCTTTTGATGTTTCCGATGTGCTTGTAGGAATCAGTAGCGAAACGATCCTGAAACCAGCCTCCGTCACAGAAGATGAGTTGCTTGATTTAATTGTGAAGCTAAATGATGACACCAATGTGGATGGCCTGCTGGTGCAGCTCCCTTTACCTGGTGAGTAAACTTCAGGAGGAGCTCTTCACATAGCTCCATTAGAAATGTGTGCATTGAGTCAGAGGGTTGTAATAAAGCCAGCCTTGTGTGCAGCTAGCAGAGTGGCCCATCTCATGCCCAGGTCAGGCTCTTGCATCCTATACAACACAGTAACTCTCCTGTGGAGTAGCTTGTCTCACCTGTATGCCAGTGCAGGGTGTCAGTCTCACTTTATGTTATCTGTGTTGAGCAGCTGGGGGTTGTGTTCGGACAGTTGTCTATTTGATGACTCATCTAGACAGGAATCCTGTGAAACTTAATGTCCATGTGGGTCAATATCTGATTTCCCGTTCTGCTGTTCCCTTCCAGTCACACATAATCTGCTAATGTAGCTCTTGCTAGAACTACATGTGTGGAATCCCAAGCAATTAATTGTCTCTTCTCACCCTCAGAACATATCGATGAGCGAAAGGTCTGCAATGCTGTAAACCCTGAAAAAGACGTGGACGGCTTCCATGTAGTCAATGTGGGTCGGATGTGTCTGGACCAATACTCCATGCTGCCTGCAACGCCTTGGGGTGTGTGGGAAATCATCAAGAGAACTGGTAGGAGCCTTGCACCAATCTTTTGTGTATCTAGGGGCAGGCACTTAAGAGCACAACAAAGCCTCATTGTCTGTGTGTTTTCCACATGGCAGGAATCCCGACCCTGGGCAAGAATGTCGTTGTCGCTGGCCGATCGAAGAATGTTGGCATGCCCATTGCAATGCTTCTGCACACCGATGGCAGGCATGAGCGTCCTGGAGGTGAGCTCAGTCTCCAGACCTGGCTGGTTACCAGACAGAAGTAAACGCAGATCACTTTGCGCAGATTTTCCTTGATCGGAAACTATATTGTGTCCGGGGGGGAAGGGGGCGCTGAGCCCCTCCATCTTCAGCAAAGATAGGAGGAAGAAGAAGAGATTGGATTTGTACCCCGCCCTTCACTACCCAAGGGAGTCTCAGAGCGGCTTACAAACTCCTTTCCCTTCCCCTCCCCACAACAGACACCCTGTGAGGTAGGTGGGGCTGAGAGAGCTCTGACAGAAACTGCTCTTTTTCAAGAACAGCTCTTATCAGAACTATGGCTTGCCCAAGGTCATCCAGCCAGGTCCTAGCGGAGGAGTGGGGAATCAAACCCGGTTCTCCCAGATTAGAGTCCACTCACTTAACCACTACACCAAACAGGCTCTCTGAAGTGGTCTGTGCTGTGCTCTGTCCATTGCAAAATCTCCCCCCCCCCCCACACACACTATTATTTGGTCCCTTGCTTGTAATTCAAACTAGGTTTTTGTCAGGCACAATGTTGTTGTCAGTTTCCCTAAAGGCTGGTACTGGAAAAGCCTGGAGTTAGTTCTCCTTCTTAGGACACTGGCATGTTGTGCAGAAAGTTCTGAGGAGCATGTGCACCAGTACTGCTTTTATTCCCGAGTTTGCTCCTGAGGAAACCTCAGCATCCACGCCTTTAGTTCTTCAAAGCACAAACCGTGGTTAATTATACTGCGTACAGCATGACCAGGTTTCTGCCCTCGAGAAACCAGCCCAGGCCTTGCCATGGTGAAACGGTTCATTGTCCTTTTTTTCAGAATTGATATACAGTCAGTGTTGGCATAATGTCCTGGAAGCTCCAGGACCACCTTAGTGGTAAAAGCTAGAAGTCATTGTAAAGTCTGAGAGGGGGCACATTCAGCTGTAGGCCCAGCAGCAAGTGGGCAGTAAACTGCTGGAGGAGAATACTACCTTAGTTGAAGCTTTTTGGGGGTACGGGCTTTCCTTCCCTCCCTCTTGTCACTCAGCTACCAACTGCCTGAGTGTTAGTTACTTGAGTCTTCAGACGCTCCTCCTTAACATGAGCTAACTTGTAAGGAAGTCGAATGGTGTTCTCACTGGGAGCTTCTCTTTTCAGGGGATGCGACAGTCACCATCTCTCACCGCTACACCCCAAAGGAACAGCTCAAGCAGCATACAATTCTTGCTGACATCGTGGTTGCAGCTGCAGGTAAGAAGCTGGGGGGACTCATGAGGAATGCAACTATTGTTGATGGCAGAGAGTAATTCTGGAAGGGTTCTTCTCCCCAGAGCCTTTGCCAATGGGATTTCACAGGCTTTTTCTTAACAGCAGTTTGAAGCTGCTTCTGACATTAGGAAGGACGACTGGGACCTTCGGCCTTTTCAGGGCTGGTAGGAGTTTGGGGTGTCTTCAGTCAGGGATCCTCTGGGAACTGGCCTGGAGCTTTGTCCTTTGAAGCCATTACAATTGGTGGGTACCAGTAGTTTTAGATTAACTTCCGTTTTATTAAATTACAGGCATTCCTAACCTGATTACAGCAGACATGATCAAAGAAGGAGCTGCAGTGATTGATGTTGGCATAAACAGAGTCCAGGATCCTGTTACTGCCAAACCAAAGCTGGTTGGAGATGTGGATTTTGAAGGTATGGGGTTAGGGTTTACAGGATCCCAAGAATATCAGTCTGACATTTAGACGATAGGTTTTCCTGTATATTAAGGCAGATAGGTAACTTGCCACTTCAGCTATACTTTGAAGTAGTTGTGGCTGTGAAGGCAGCAAAGGATGCAGAATATATCGAGTTATGTAATATCTTGTGGAAAAAATTATCACAAATTTTCCTTGTAATTTCATCCTTCAGTTTCTCTGTTGGCTGAAGGCATCTAGGGAGCCGAGTATTTTGAATCCAAGGTTCTGTAGTCGGCATAGAGTTAGAGTGCTGCTGGTGAACTTGTTTCAGAATAGATGGCAGGATATCAAGTTACCAAAAGCTCTACCACAAATACCTCCTGCAGTCAGCGGCTGATATTGGGTTACCATACTGTAAACACGAGTCTAGTTTGGCTGCATTAGCGAGTCACACTTTTGCTTGGTTTTGTAGGACAGTGAGGGATGCCTGCCTGGGATTCCTATTGTAGGTGACCGTGTTGATTGCAACTGCAGCGATCAAAACCTGAAACCACAATCAGTAATTTGGTATCGGGTATTTTCCTTTTGCTGATGTTGCCCCATAGAAGGAGCTGCCCTGCTCAGACTGTAGTTGGTGCTAATACAAAGGTCTTAAGTGTTTGGAGCAGAGAGTAGAAAGGGTTGCATTCAGATAAGGGCTACAAAAGTATACCATGACCCATTTTTGGAGTTCATGGAGTGTGTTAGGATTTCCTGCATCTTTAGTGCTATGGTGCAAATGAGAGGTATAGTATCTCAGATTGCCAACTACTGTGCTAAATCTACTCACTTTTGAAAAAGTTCTAGCACTTCCAGTTTTAGAAAACAACTTGGAAACATGTTTTTCTTGCTACAGTATCTTGCTTCCCAACCAAAAACACTCTCCAAGTTGGTTAGGCTCATACTCTGGGAAAAGTCTGGGCAGGATTTTCAGTGGTCAGACCAGGGAAGACGCTTTATGGCCCTACCTCATACAGTTATTCTCTGCTACTGGAGACTGAGCCTTGGTTGCTTGCCATTTGAGTTGTTCAGTCACCACTGTCCTCCTTGGAAAATTCTGCCCACACCAGAACCCTGAGAAGCTGAACAAATTCTGTAAAACAATTAAAAGGGGAATTAGTTAATGGAACAACACAACTTTGTAGCTGCTTTGGGGCATATTTGCATTATTTTAGTCTGGGACTCCTCCAACTTTTATCACTGTGAATGGCCTACTTAGGTAATTTGATGTTGATGTTTTCCTTAGCCTTACCTTCTGTCCCTTTCCTTTTTCCAGGTGTAAAGCAAAAAGCCAGCTATATCACTCCAGTCCCTGGTGGGGTCGGCCCCATGACAGTTGCCATGCTGATGAAGAACACCATCATTGCTGCAAAGAAAATGCTGAGGCCCCAAGAGCTCGAAGCTCTGACCTCTTAATGGTGGACTTTTCATGTTACAACAGCAACATTCCAAATCTCCCAGACCACAGGCTGACAGCAGTGCAATATTTATTTGCTGGAATATTTATTTAAAGCAATTGTGTTTGATGGCAGAGAGCTTCCACCCTAAACGGATGTGTGGCAATTCCTACCATTAAGCTATTGTATTAAAATGCAGGAACCTGGTTGAGAATTAGTAGAATATAGAAGACGGGTGCTGCTCTCTCTGAAATCCAAGAGGGGGCCATTTGTGGGCCAAGAACTGAATGTTCACATTACAGAAAAACATCTTAGTGTTTACTCAGTGCAGCTTTGATCAGCCACCCTAAAAGAGTGTCCCTTATTTGCTATGACTGCACAGCATCTGTTCTGGAGTCAGATGTTACTATTGTTTTGTACAGGGCCTTATTTGTATTGCATTTTAATAGCTCTTGTAACAAAGGCATTTATAACTTGTTTGAGTACTGTAATCTTACACATTGGTTAGGGCTGAAATATGCTTGAAAGCTAGCATGGCATGAATCAGAAGACTGGATAGGTTCTCGATGACTGCTTAGCATTGCTTAGTGTAATATTGATGGCTATTACAGATTGCATTTGAATAAACAGAGGATTGTCTTTGAGAGTTTTATGGAATGTCATTGTGTGTTCAAAAAAGGGAGAGTTTAACTTTGTTGGAAAGCCTCTTATTTTGGGGGCTTTCATACCTCCCCCCTCTCCACAAAAGGTGGTAATACTAATTTGACCAGTTAGTGTGAATACTAGGGCATTAGCTGAGGAAAGGGGAATTACAGGCATGAAAGGTGCTGTCCGACTCCTCAGGTACAATTCAAGGGCTTGGGCCAGACAATCACCACTAAAGTCCTGGTTTCACTTGAGAAATGCTGCTTTCATGATCATTGCCTTGTAGCTGGGGTGTTGTGTGTGTTTAGCACTAAGCCAGGATGAATCACAGAGTTGGAAGGGGCCCTACAGGCCATCTAGTCTAGTCCAACCCCCTGCTCCATGCAGGAACAGCCTAGGTAGCTGATTCCACTGTTGAACAACTTACTGTAAAAAGATGCCCACCTTTGTGTCTCATGTGGAGCCATAGCCAAGACTTCAGTTGATAAAATGATTTCAAACCATAGGTAAAGATCCTGGTTTGACAACCTTACTAAACATAAGTTACAGTAACCATAGTTTGCTTAAATAAGCAATGATAGCAGTTCTGTTCAGGCAGAATATACTATTTAGTTGCCAGTGCAATGTTGCACTATGAAAACCGTCTGTATTGGTTAGGGGGGTTGGAACCATCTAATTAGCAGCAGCTGGCTGGGTTCATTTCTGGAAGCTGAATGTTTCTTAATAAGTGTGACACAAGTAGAAGTCCAACAATTTATTATATTGTGTAAATGTGTTACAGTAACATGGTAGGCTGTACTTCTGCTATGGAAATCAGTGTTTGAATATACGAAAGTGTATGTGTAGGTGTGGGGCTGCAGTGATGATTCAGTGGGACTCCTGTTACATGAAATGCTTCTGCAAACATTTTTTTGATTTGCATCTCCTATAAAACTATTGTAAAAGCAGACTAAAAAGCTCTAAGGACTGCAACTGTACTGGTACAAAATAAGATAAATATACAAGGCCATATTCAAGTTGAAATAGTTATTACAATACAAAAATGAATGAAGTGGTGGTTGACCAGGCATAACTGTCTTGTTAATATTGTTGCTTCCAACAGTTACAATATACACCCCAGAGAAAACATGATAAACAGGAGAATAGATTCAAGTTTTTCTTGTTTAACTTCAATATTTACAAAGTTACAAGGAACCAGCATCTGTTTTATATTAAAGTTCATACTGGTGTAATATGTAGAGGATAGAAATTCTACTTGAGATTAGCAATGGCAAGCCACCTCTACTTCTCACCTGCCTTGAAAACCCCTTGCTTGGGTTGCCATAAGTCGACTGCAACTTGATGGCACTTCACACATACACACACAGAGAGAAATCCTGCTCAGTAAAAATGTACATTTGTTAAAAGTGAGTTTTTTTATAAATGTACCCACATTATAGGTATAGAGTTGGATCCAGGCTCAGTTTCCCAATGATAGAATAGAACTTTCCTACCTCCCACTAATCTCCATGAAACACTGCTCTTGGAGGATAGGGGACCTTGAGGAAGGAAGTCTTGAGAGGTGTCTGCACTGGGAAGGAGGAATTTGTGAAAATTGCCAATTTAGTATGGATCCAACCCATTTTCATGGTCTACGTTATCAAACTTTGTATCTTATGGTAAAAAGAAAACATTTAAGCCCATGTGATTTTTGTTCAAGTGGGACAAGGACAGAAGACTTCTGCTGGATCAGACTGAAGTCCTCCTAACTCAAAATGTTCTTTGCAACAGCACAGAGTAATAGACCCCAGCCAAGGTCACAGGCAGAACCAAAGTGAAGCTATCGTCTGCTTTGTTTCCAGTGTTGATGCTTCGAGACGTACTTTTTAAAGGCAGAGACTCAGTTTTCAGTTATCCATTCCTCTAAGCTGTCTGCCAAAAAGGTAGTAAACCATTACTAGATCCAAACATTTCCTAAAAGATATAAATTCTACCTCTTTTTTAAAAAACATCCCTCTGAACTAGAAGCTGCAATGTGACAGGTTGCATCAGTACATTTTGAAAGGTCAGCAATTGGATCCTAATTACTACAGTATTATCCAAACAGTAACAAAAATCAGAAGACAAATAGCATGTAGGGCCAAAGGAAATTGAGTCTGTATCAGAGCAAAGACCCCCTGGATTGGCTGCTGTGTGCCTGAGCTAGAAAAGGGCCAGTTGCTGGGCAATAGCAGTGCAGGGCTGCCTCGTTATTCTGCACTTTTTAAACTCTGCAGCTGCCCCCTTCATCTGACACAGAAGGCTCCTCCAGAATGGACGCAAGCCACCCAGATTAGTTTGCCTGTTCCTGTTAACTGCTGGCCACCTTTGGTCAGGCTGGCAGACTCCTTTGCAACTGGCTGTGCTTGCTGAGGCAATAAGCAAACTGAGTATTTTGTTTTTCATTTTGACATAAGGCAGGTTTGTGAGTAGGAGGCAGTTCCAGAATTGGGATTTGCCATCTCACCCTCTGCAGCTGCTTCTCTAAGCATATGGTGAGCTTGGAGAATATAAAGAATTGGAGGTGTGTGTGTGATAAATTCTTCCCTAGAAGAAGAAACGGCAGGCAGGGTGGTGGCAAAGCTGTCCTCACAGAGAAGGTTTCAAACAAACCCTAAACTGAAAAGCATGCCAGGGTGTTCTTGGTCCCTTCACCAATGGGTTTAGACTGTTAAATCTGAGTCCAGTAGCAGTTCAGAGGCCAGCAAGATTTTCAGGATATGAGTCAGAGCTCCCATTCTCAGGCATGAGTAGGACGAAGGGGAGCTTTGACCCGCAAATGCTCATACCCTGAAACTCTCTAAGGTGCGACTGGACTGGAATCTAAGGTACGACTACTGGAATCTAATTGTTCTACCACAGACTAACACTGCTGATCTCTGAAGCAATGGGTATTAAAGTCATCTTGGTTGGCTTCCCCGGTATGGTGCCAGTTTCTGATGTAAGTAAATGAAATTTAATTATGCAGTTTTCAAAAATATGGATGAAGCTGTTTTGGGTTAACAGTAAAAGTCCAGATATCAACTGAGTCCCCTGCAGTGATCCCAGTGTGTCACCTTGACATGTGTACTGGTGTTTTCTCGCCTCCCCAATTCTTGGCCCTGACAGAGGTGAAATGAGGCTCAACAATGGTCAGGCACCTTCACCAGGCAGCACCAGCTCCTGAGAGGCTGGGAAGAGGAGGGAGATTGGAGAACTAAAAGGTAATTTGCCAGGTGCTTCTTGCTGGGAACAAGGTTTCCTCTGTACCATGACATCCACTATCTGGGGTTTCTCTTCTCAGTCCACCAGCTCGCCTACTTGCCCTCTTGTCTTGGTGGGGTATGGCCGTACCCCCCCCCCGCCACTCCCTTCTTGCTTCATGAAAGATAAAGAAGGGGGTTCTAGACCCCAGAGCTTGCAAGCTTCATGTGATCCATACATTTACTCCCAAAGCCAGAGTTACCTGAGATGGTTCTTTCTCCCCCTCCACTTTGAGAGAGTGAAAGGTACAGTGTTGTTGGCTTCCCTCTTATTGCTCTCGTATGTCCCATAACTTGCATGTTCTTATGGGTTTACGTGTGTATGTATGTGGGCATCTGACTGCTTGTAACTTACTTTAGAACAACACAATTGCTTGAAATGTAGGCAACTGCAATGGGTTTCATTCTGTGGTGTACAAAAGTGTACTTAGCCCTGATTTGGGAAACAGCAGATGCACTGATAACACTGTCAATGAAAATCAGCCATTTTCTTTGGGGAAACTGATCTCTGTAGTCTGGAAATCAGTTGTAATTCTGGGAGATCTCCAGGTCCTGCCTGGAGTTTGGCAACCCTATACCTATGGCAGCTATCATGTAGTGGCGTCTACTACCTTTTCTCAAAATTATAGATGTTCCCACGGGCTCAATAAGGGAACCACAACAGAACTTTTCAGAGGTCTTAGTGTAAGTGTCCCTGTCCCTTTTGTTTCTTAGAGCTCATTCTTAGTACAAGGGGAAAACCCTGTCTCTGATCCTTTCTGTTGAAGGAAGAATTCTGTGCTTTAGTGAATGGAACAGCTTGCAAATGTGTTTTTTAAAATCAAGATTTTTAGAACTGCAGAGAATAATTCGGAGGCACCAAGTGATTGGACCAAGTGTCTCTGTCTAGAACAACCCATGGGTCTAGGGTGCAAGGCGCCTGCTCTTCTGAGGTTTCTCTAGTGCTCCTATAGAGAAGCTGCAGTTATCAAAATCGAATTTAGGGCAGGCACCACAACATTCAGAATGATATGCCTATGGTTTACCATGACCAGAGGAGAAGGATTAAATTCACTGTCTCAAATGACATATTGAATAAGCCAGGGGGTCCCCCCCCCCTTTTTTCCCCCTTCGGTTTTTGTCCCCAGTGTGGTACCTGTCAAGTGTTTTTAGAAAGTGGGTAGGGCCAGATGGGACTTCTGCCCAGGAAGATTTTTGATTAGCTGTGCAGATTTTTTAAAATGTTGCTTTGGCAGCATCTGCTAGCGCACAGCACAAGGATTTTCACTGTGTGACTGAAGGCAAGCCGTGGCAGCCACTTTGTGTCTGGCTCTGCCTCCTGCTTGCAGCTGTTTTGGGGCTGTGCCCACCACACGGTGTCAAAATTCCAAAGGTGCCCACAGGCTCAAAAAGGCTGGGGACCTGTAGAATAAACCAACTCAATAGAGAGTAAAAAGAGACAACATATTGGCATGACTAAGAACCATTTACCAAATTTAGCTCTGAGAAAAGACTGAAGAATGATAAGACAGTTTTCATATATACAAAAAGAAAAAGGAGATTTTGGCCTTCAAGTTGGGGTACTCTGGGAAATGTCTCACTTTCTCCTCCTGCAGAACAGCCAGGATTTCTCACAAAATATTTCAGGGAAGAAGATTTCATGGACAAAACGTTTTCAGCCATGTTTATAGCAGAAATACTTTTTGCTTTGCTGCAACTGGATCCTATAATTTCTTGGCCTCTGTCCAATGAGCATCTTCA